AGAATGTCGATGAATAGGGCTAAAATGATTAGTCGACATTATCGACAATAAAACATTTTCGACAAATATTTTTGTTGTCGAGTAGTCGTTTGATCTCATATGACCTAATGTGAGAGCCTGCAATAATGTGGTTTGACCAGTGTGGTCAAACCACCATGACCACATACTTGACCCGCGGTATGAAAGCAACAATTAAGAACACATTTGATTACAGCAATGTGGATGTTTGCACGAACTCTGAAGTTCGGCACTCCAGTAAAGAAAAGTCCAGTCACGTCACGTTTATTTAGATAACAGTACTTTATGCAATAGATAGCCTTAAATCAAGCAGCTTTACAGTATTAAACATGAAAAACCAGTCAGTGTCGCTTTCAGTTAGAATTACAACCTTCTTTTCTGTTTTAAAGCAGCTCTCCAGTGTAGAGCTAGCTAATGATCAAATATTTTTATTAGGGGGAAAAAATATATTTAATTAAAGTTTTAGTTTGGTTTGATCTAGCTCAGGACTGTTTTGATTATCATAACCCTATAAGGTATTTTAAGAGTGATTATGTTGTGAATAAAATAGTTTATCCAAAAATAAGACGTCCTATCACTAACCTTTATTTAGTTTTTTTATACATATGACTTACAAAAAGAGATGTTAGGCAGAATGTGTCATTCAGTTACTTTTTCATATGGCTAATTAAATGGCGAATAAGAGAGTTTCTCCGTCATCTCATTTTGTGTGCCAAATATATTTATTTGTATAAATTAATTGTATAATTGCAGTTACATAATGTGACTTTCAAAAGTTGAAATACTTTAATTTATTTGTTAGAATGTATAAATATTTTAACTAATTGCAAAAGCTGAATAATCAATAAATGTGTAATGATTAACGAGGTAAATAACTGATGATTAGTCGATTAATCATTCTAATAATTGTTCATCAATTATCAAAATAATCGTTTGTTGCAGCTCCTATCTATGAATGCTGATCCCAATGCATCTTTTTTCATTATCAACATGGATATTAAAATCACAAACAATTAAGACTTCAAAAGGATTTGCAGATTTTCTGAGTTAGTTCTGGCTGCAGATAAAGTCTGTATGGTGCCCTGGTGGCCTGAATACAGTAGCCAGTATAAATGTCACCAGGGATTTAGCATTAACACTTGCTAATAACATGCTTTTGTGATCAGATGTGGATCTTGTCACAGAATGAGGCAGAAAATATGTTCTACACTGGTGTTAAATAGTGAGGGAGTGATATGAAACAGCTGGGTGCAATCAGTGTAAACAGGTGTGTGCAATTCGTGCTGAGTGCAATCAGTGCAATGCATGATGGGAAATGTAGTCCGGGGTGATGTGCAACAGTGTGTAGTGCGAGAGTCAATGAATTGGAAAGTTCATGGACCGGATTCGTGACAGTAATAAAGGCCTATGTTTTTAGCAATGGATTATAAATATACTTAATTATGAAAATACCCAAGATGGCTTGAAGAACACAGATTGACCATATACCATTTTAAAAGTATTGATTTGGCACCAGTATCTTAAAAAACCCAAGTGATACCCAACCTTATCCAAGAGTAGTCATAATTAAGAGTAGACTTAAAGAGGTCATCGGATGCCCATTTTCCACAAGTTGATATGATTCTTTAGGGTCTTAATGAAAAGTCTATAACATATGTTGGTTAAAATGTCTAAATGGCAGTGTAAAACAACACCCTTTTACCCTGTCAAAATGAGCTCTGTTTTCAGCAAGCTGTTTTAGTCCATGTTGCTTTAAATGCTAATGAGCTTTGCTGACCCCGCCCCTCTCTTCCATGGGATGATGAGCAGACTGTAAACTTCAGCTGCGAAACTTGCAAACTAGCACATTATTAGGAAAGGTGATTTGCAAAGATTCATAAAAAAAACCTTATACTCAGTACTTCTGTAGATGAAGCTGGATCACAAATGATTGGCGCGAACTTAAACGCATTTATGTAGATCGGGGATCAGCACATTCCCTTCAAAAATTAAATGACGACTGCTATATTCATTATTACATCCAGTGTTGGGGAGTAACTAGTTACATGTAACGGAATTATGTAATTTAATTACAAAATAAAAGTAATTGTAATCAGTTACAGTTACTGAGAAAAAATGTGTAATTAAATTACAGTTACTTATGAAAATATTAAGGATTACAAAGGGGGTTACATCTGCTTGATTCACACACACTCCCACATACAGATTTAATTGATTTCTTTCATAAATTGCAGTGACTGCTCTAAAATATGAAACACCAATGTTTCATGAGTTTAGAACATGCTTATTCGATAACTTTTATTTCCTATATGGGTTTATGCATAGCTAGGCTTCATTTTTTAAAGATTAACTGTTGTTTTCGAAGGCATTGTTAGATTCCAGTGTTTACTGTCATAGCTAAGCAAAGATTTGATTCCAAAAACAGTATCATAGCTAATAAAATATTTATTGTTATGATA